GGTCTTGATGGAGAGCACTGACCACTGGAGTGGATGATTCTGGAAGATCTTTCAGTAGACTCTTGCCCTTCTGAGCCGGGGCAGGGCGATGAGTACTGGAGGCAGGTGAGGGCCAGGTACTTTGATGGCCTGGGGCTAGCAGGCCACCCACAGATGGAGTTTCCCATATTCCTGGCTCCCTCCTGTTTCCCACACACCGAGCAGCAGAGAAAGCAGAGCCTGGAGCCCATCTGTGAGCCTGGCCTGGGGAGGGTGAGGTGGGAGCAGCAGCTGCCCCCTTTGCTGCATAGGGAAGATGAAGATGGAACCTTGGGGGAGAGGCAGCCCCTGTTAGAGTGAGCCTGGCATCTGCAGGCATCTTTGACAGCTCAGGCTGCCATAATGAAATGCCATAGGTCGGATGGCTTAAACAACGGACATGTCCGGGGCCTGGACGGCTGAGATCATGATCTGTTTCTGGTGAGGACTCTTCCCGGCTTGTATGACTGTCTCTCGCTCTGTGCTCACATGGCAGGGACAGGGAGAGCAAGCTCTCCTGTGTCTCTTCTTATGAGGACATGCATCTCATCACGAGGACCCCACCCTCATGACCTCATCTAGACATAACCACCTCCCAAAGACCCCACCTCCAAATACCATCACCTTGGAAGAGGACAGCTTAGAGCTCCAAAATATGAATTTGGGGGTGTGCACAGCAGCAGAATTAGATCATCCATTCCTCTCCCAGGAGATAGGACTGCATAGCTAAATTAGTAAATGCTAAGAAATGGCAGTGACCATGTATACATTTGGCACTAGCTAAATGCTCAGTGATTGGGGACTGTGATTTAGAGCTTTTCCACATGAAGCAGGAGCCACCTGGGAGGAAGATGAAGGCAGATGGTATATGGAGGTTGGTATTTTCATAACACCAAATCAAAATACTTGCTCTGACAACAACAACAAAGTAAAATACTGGGATCTTATTTATCTGAAAAGCCTTATGGCTGTTAAGAAGAATTCATCTTGGGTTATACAGTCAGCCAATCTTCATTTAAAACAAAAACAAAACCAGAAAAAAAAACCACAGGAAATTTGGAGCATCTGGCAAATTTAGGTGCTGGCTGCTGCATGGCCTTGGCACTCCCCACCTACACCAGAGGGGCGTTGACTTCACCTGGCTTCTGTGGAGCCCAGACCAGACCAGGTTACCTGGTGCTCTCCCCGGCTGCCAGAGGCAACATTCACCTGGATGGAGGAGCTTGAGGGGCAGGGCAAGGGCAGGTATCTGAGGGAAAATGCCAGTTATAAAATACCAGGAGGTCACTGTTTTTCATTCATCCCAAGTTGACACACACCCCACCAGCATGTTAATGTCTCTGACATCAGAATTCATTTTACACTTGACCCCATCTGAGAGCTGTGTTGGGGTTTGATGGCATTTTTTATTTCCTAGTGGTACATGAAACAATGGTGCATATTACATTGAATTCTGTCTCTTAAAAAGTATTTATTTATTAAACCGATTGGGGTGACATTGGTCAACATGAACCTATAGGTTTCAGGTGTTACAAGATCTGTATATTGCTCTGTGTGCCCACCACCCAAAGTTAAATCTCCTGTCACCTTATATTAGGCCTCCTTCCCTCCCCCACCCCACCCCCAGCCCCCCACCCATCCCCTTCCCTCTGGCAATCACCACACTGCTGTTTGTGTTCATGCTTCTGTCTTGGAGCTTAGGAAATACAACAATTGGTATTACAGTTGCTGACTATATAGCAGGTGGGCTGGGAGCACTGGATCTTCCAGGCCAGCACCTTTATCCTGCACCCATGGTTCAAGAACAAACTTGCCTTTTCCTTTTCTTTTCTTTTTTTCTTTACTCCCTCCCAAGGGGAAATAAGCCTTATTACTTGTTTCTTTTTCATCTTTTTGCTTGGTTTGGTTGTTAAAGTTAACATTCCTTGAGGATGGCATAAATGATTTCCATAGCACCTGGAAATCATCGTGCTTTGTGCGGAGTGCCTTGAAATACTGATAAATTTAATTCCATTGTGTGAAATAGGAACACTTTTGTTAGCAGGAAAGCCGACTCTATTATATGTGCATTATGTTTCAGTCACAACCGAAACACGGGCTGTCAAGCTCATCAGCCCTCCGACTGCCTCTGAGCCGCTGCTCCCGTTCCGTTCCTCGGGGACAGCACCGCCAGCGCCCAGACCCACTGGGGAGAAGCAGAGTAATCCTCGGCAGCTCCCTCCCTGCTTGGCCCCTGTGCCCTCACCCCATCTACCCCGTGACCAAATGCCATGACTCTGCCTCCAGGTTGGCTCCTGAAGCTGAACACTTCTCTGCAGCCTCATCCCCACTCTTTCACCTGGACCACCACCTCTCTTAGCTGAGTTATAGCCACACCTCCCTTCCCTCCACGCTCTCCTCTACATGCAGCAGCCCTGACCTCTAACGCACCGGACAGCCCTCTGCACGCGACCTTTCAGGAGCTCCCACGCTGATAAGGCCAGGTCTGGCCCATGAATGGCCCTCCAGTGTAATTTTCCCCAGTGTCACTGTCAGACCCTACGCTTGCAGCCAACAGAATTATCTGCCATTTGGCACTGTGTTGTGTTCTCTCTGGCTGGAACATCTCCCCCACCCAGTTGCCTGGCTAAGTCCTCCTCCTGCTTCATCTCAGATGACGCCTCTTTCAGGTCGTCTTTCCCCCCTGGGGTGGGGTGCCCGTTCCTCAGTGCACATGTGCAGACCTATCATTTCTTGCTGGGGTTCCTGCAACAGCCTCCCAGCTGGTGTCCTGCCACCTTACTTGGCCCACCCTTCCATTCTCTATATAGCAATCAGCATCTTCTCTCTGATCATGTTGTTTCCGCTGCCATTAGGTTCAAGTCTAAACCCCTTTAAGGCCCCTATAGTATGATCTTAAGGCTCCCTATGATTCTGTATGATCTCACCTATTACAAGCTCCCCTGTTTAACTCATTCCAAGTCCCTCCATGCTTCAGCTAGTCCCAGTCTCTTTCTGGGCCTCCACCCTGACACCTGCTGTCTAGCTCTGTCCACTGACTCCTATGTCTGGACCCTCCCCTGACTCCCAACTCTTTACCTGGCTAATTCCTACACACCTTCAGGTGTCTGTTGAACATCACTTCCTCTGGAAACCCTTTGTTAAATCTCTAAACTAGGCTAGGTATCTCTCCCCTATTCCATTTCCTAGAGCTGACCACTCACAGATTTAATTGTGTGATTAATTGGCCATTGTTTCTTTTAGACTGTGAGCTGGAGAGCCATGTACATTTTGCTCCTGCCTGTGTCTCTAGCACTATGTAGATCAATGCTCTGTAAATATTTACAGAAGCAAAGATGAAGAAATGCATATTTCTATTCCTAACATTGGAAGCTGGGACTCTAACTTTCCTTAGGTGTGTGCTGCATGGGCTGCACTTCATATATGTTTGTTGAATAAATGAATAATGAATGGCCAGCTCTTCTCAAGCTCATTTATGCTATTACTAGGGGCCCGGTGCATGAAATTCGTGCACTGGGTGTGTGTGTGTGGTGGGGGGGGGGGAGTGTCCCTCAGCCCAGCCTGCCCACTCTCACATACTGGGACCCCTAAGGCGTTGAGCTCCATCACCCTCCAATAGCAGGATTGGCCCCTTGCCCAGGCCTGACGCCTCTGACAGAGGTGTCAGGCCTGGGCAGGGGACCCTCATTTCCCCCCATCACTGGTTCTGCCCCCAGCCCAGGCCTGATGCCTCTGGCCCAGGCATCAGGCCTGGGCAGGGGACCCCCAGACCCCTCCGATTGCTGGCTCTGCCCCTTGCCCAGGCCTGATGCCTCGGCCAGAGGCATAGACCCCCATCACCCTCCGATCGCCTGATCGGCTCCTTGCCCAGGCCTGATGCCTCCGCCAGAGGTGTCAGGCTTGGACAGGGGACCCCCATCTCCCCCCGATCACTGGCTCTGGCCCCCGCCCAGGCCTGAGGCCTCTGGCCCAGGAATCATGCCTGAGCAGGGGACCCCCATCTCCCTCTGATCGCTTGCTCCACCCCCCGCCCAAGCCTGATGCCTCTGGCCCAGGCATCAGGCCTGGGCAAGGGCACCATCATATCCCCCCAATCCCCGGCTCTGCCCCCCACCCAGGCCTGATGCCTCAGCCAGAGGAGTTGACCCTCATCACCCTCCGATCACCAGTCACCGGATCGGCCCCTTGACCAGGCCTGAGGCCTCCGGCAGAGGTGTCAGGCCTGGGCAGGGGACCCCTAGCTCCCCGAGGTTGCAGGCTCCGCCCCTGCCCAGGCCTAACGCCTCTGGCCTAGGCGTCCGGCCCGGGCAGCGGGGACCTGCAGCTGCAGCGGCCCCACGATCGTGGACTTCGCTTTAGGCCCAGGCAAGGGACCCCTAGCTCCTGGGACTGCCAGCTTTGACCATGCCCAGCTCCCATCGCTGGCTCCACCCCTACTTCCTGCTATCACTGGCCAGGGCGGAAAAGGCGCCTGATTCTCCGATCATGGCTGGGGGGCAGGGCAAAGGCGGCCCCCCAGCTCTTAGCTCCCCCCTGGGTTTCCGATCACTGTCAGTGGCAGGGGGCTTCTTCTTGCTTTCCCTTTCGCCTCCCTGCATTGTGCCTACATATGCAAATTAACCGCCATCTTGTTGGCAGTTAACTGCCAATCTTAGTTGGCAGTTAATTTGCATATAGCCCTGATTAGCCAATGAAAAGGGTAGCGTCGTACGCCAATTACCATTTTTCTCTTTTATTAGTATAGATACTTCTTCAAAAATTATACTTGCTCATTTATTTTACCATCTGCAAGAACTTGCTAGCAGAGTAGTGGCAGCAGGCCACCATGTTTTAAGAAAATTGTTGGATACAAAACTTAACATTCCGAGGCTAGAGAGTTTCTCTGTTAGCTTCCAATGGTTGGTTTTAGCTTCAGAGTCCCCCCTGGGAGGCAGCCTGCTTTGGGAGGGCCTCCCGCTCATTCCCTGTGTCCATTTCTCCAGTCAGAGCCTGGCCACCCGGTGGCCCTGCTGCCCCAATGGATCCACTGAACCTGTCCTGGTATGATGACGACCTGGAGAGCCAGAACTGGAGCCGGCCCTTCAACGGGTCTGCGGGGAAGGCCGACAAGCCCCCCTACAACTACTATGCCATGCTGCTCACCCTGCTCATCTTCATCATCGTCTTTGGCAACGTGCTGGTGTGCATGGCCGTGTCCCGCGAGAAGGCACTGCAGACCACCACCAACTACCTGATCGTCAGCCTCGCCGTCGCTGACCTCCTCGTAGCCACGCTCGTCATGCCCTGGGTGGTCTACCTGGAGGTAGGTCTGGGCCCAGCCTCACTCAGCACCTTCTCCAGAGAACACCATGCTGGGGCCGCGGGTCCAAGCTCCTCACTGCTTTCTACCCACAGGTTGCCTGGTGCTTTCTCAGATTGTCTCCTCTCCACTCTGGCCTCAGTTTTTCTCTCATGAAATGGGTAAATTGTCTTCTTAAAAATCCCAACTACCAGGTGCAGAGTCCTTACTAAGTGCCAGACCTTGTGTTAAGTCCTTTGAACGCACCATTTTCCAATAGCGTCCTCATTTCGCCCCCCAAAGACCAAAGTATTATCACCATTTCACAGAAGTCAGGTGGCCTCTTGGTGGGCCCAGCTGGCACTGTGTCTGGCCCCCAGAATGTTCATCGGCCCAGCGGAAGTGGGAGCCATTGAGGAGAACCCCCAAGGATAGCCATGTTCCTGCTTCCAGGCCTGAACTCTCCATTCCTCTTTCCTGCTTCAAAAGTGGGGGCTGCTGCTCTCCTCCTCCCTTCCCTCTGCCCCAAGTTTAAGGCCTCTGGGAACTGTCTGCAGCCTCTTCCTCAGGAAGGACCAGTCACCACTGCTCGGCCGGGACAGAGCCCAGCTCTGTGCCTCAGGACAGTCAGTGGGCAGCCGGCTGTGGTCCAGGCACCGGGCCAGACATGTTCAGACCCAGACTCCACAAATACTCATTCTGGTCCTGGGAGCCAATGCTGCTCTTCTCACTTTAGAGAGGAAACAGAAGCTTTGAGAAGGTGCCTGTCTTCACCCAGATCACACAGCAAAGGGAGAAGCGCTGATAAGAAGTCCCCAAGTGGACCCACCTCCCGGTGGATGCTTTTCAGAGCTGGCGGGCAGAGGTGGAAGGGCCTGGGGGCTGTGAGTGGGCACAAGCTGGGTCCTGCCCCTTTCTCCACCAGGGGTTCCGGGTGGAGTCTGAGTGCAGAGGAGTCTGACCAGGCGGCCAGGAAAGAGCCAGTGCTGGCCATTCACATGCCCGAGCTGTTTCCTTCTGGCCCTGGGCTAGAGAGAGGAGTTACCTGTGCCGGGGGCAAACCCTTCTTTCAAAGAAAATATGAGCCCTTGGCAGGTTTGAGGGAGAGGAGGACATCAGTAGAAGAAGCTGAGAGGGTGAGGGGAGGGAGGAGGCCGGTCAAAGCGCACTCCTCTCCCAGGGGCTCCCTGCGCTTCCTGTGGCCACCACACCATCATCCTTCAGCACAGTCCAAACAGGCTGGAGCTTCCTAAAGGGCCTGAGGGAGTGCTGAGCAAGAGCCCAAAGGGATCAAATGAAAGACAAAACAACCCAGAAAGATAGAGGTGCCACAGGCCAGGGTCATTCCTCCGGGACCCCAGTGTGTGAGGCCCCCAGACTCTGCTCATCGCGTCTGTAGCGGGTCCTGTCCCTGAGGAGCCCTCCTTACTTCACAGGCCTGTCCCCTCCTGCTCGCTCTCAGGGAGGCCTGGCCTCGGGCCACAAGGGAAAATGGCCTCCCTGTGTCAGTCTCCCTGTCTATAGAGGGGCGATAATAATAGTGTCTCTCTCAGCACTGTTTGAGAATCGGATGAATTACTGTAGAAAAGGTGCTTATCCTGGAAGCAGCACGTAACAAGCATTGTGTAAGAGTCAGCCCTGACAGTGGTATTCAAATGAAACGGCCATAGATATCAGCCCCTCCCCACAGAGGACCCACCCGTCCCAGGCGAGAGGCACCCTCTTCCCAGAGTGAGGTGTGCTCTGCCCGGGGCTGTGGGTGTGCGCCCTGGGGCTTCAGACCCACCACCCCACCACCCTACCACACTCTACAGTAGGGCCGAATCTCTGCATGGGCTGTCCTGGGGCTCCTGGCTATCTCTGAGTCCCTGGATAGATATGTTGAACATGCCTGCTCACCACTGTTTAAGGGAAAGCGTGGTGTTTCGGGGGGCAGGGTGGGGAATGGCATCTCAGAGTCTCCTCCAAAACAAGAGCTGGACAGGGAGCCCTACTCACAGGACACGGTCTCAGCTACTTATTGTCCTTCGAGAACATCCCAAGTAAAGTCTCACTCTATCCCAACATCCTGTCCAAGGGTTCTTGCAACCACGTACTGCATCCTCTGTTGTCTGGCACTTTCCATCTCGCCCCATTCCCAGTGGCAGTAAATGCCTCCAGCAGCCTGCCCTGTCAGCATGTGTCTGATGTGGAACTGCCTGTGCCTCGCATGGAAAGCACCCTGGGGTTGGAGTGGGAGGAGGACTGGGCTCCATCCCCGACGAGGCCCCTTTCCTGGAGGGTTCCCGAGGGAAGGGAGTGGCTGTCTGCCCTGTCCCTGGCCTCAGCCTCTGAGGGGGGCTCCTGGTGCGTATCCCAGGTAAGCAGGTGACATTGAGAAGGGAGCAGACTCAGATCGCAGGGTTGGTTAGTCACTCATCCAACATGTGTGAGCAATTCTGTGTCCTACCCCTGCTTGGGGCCCAACGCCCTGGCCTGCCATCAGCCAGGAGCATGAGGGCCGTTTCAGTGCAGTCTGGTGGACGTGACAATAGAGCTGTCCCCACAGGAGATGTGGAAACGCCACAGGGGCATATGACTTGGCGTGTGGGGACAAGGATGTGGTGCAGGAAGAAGGGATGCTGTCAGAGAATCATCCAGGGGAGGGAGTGGGACCTGCACTCCAGGCAGAGAAGGAAGTGTGCAGCGCTGTGCAGGGAGGGTGCTGGAGGCTTTGAGGTGTGGCAGCCAGGTCATTAGCTTCGGAGGCTTGCTGTCACATGCCACAGGTAGGAGTGTGCGTGTTCGGAACAGTGCCTGACACATAGTGAGTGCCTCATATGTGCTAGTCAGTAGGATTTAGCCAGCCAGCTCAAGGCCCGTCCCGCAGGTCTCAGCTTCCTGTGAGCAAGAATCAGTGAGTGATGGCCAAAGGTGCAGAGAGGGGACCTGGGGTCCGGTCCTCTCTCTCTACTAAATCACCAGGTGACTTTGGACAAGTCCCTTTTCCTGTTGGACCCCAATCAGAACCTTTGTGATTAGAACCTTTCCTTTCACACTTGGTTGATTTAGTCGTTTTTATGTAATTGCCTCCTCTGTGGACAAGCCTGACGGGCCTCCCAACACAGCGTAGGAGAGAGCACAGGCTATGCCACCAAGGATCTGCCTCTGCTCCCGGCTCCGCACCCGAGTGGTGAACTCAGCCCAGCTCCCTCCTCCATGACTGGACGGAAGCTACCCCTTTCCTAGGAGCCTTAAGAACAATTCATGAGCAAAGTACTTGCCAGCAGTAGGTGTTCTAGAGACAATGGCTACCAACACATCCCCTGAGCGTCTGAGTCAGCTGCCCTGACTGCCTTCTCAAGCAGTTACTCCTGAAACTGGGAGGAAGGCCGCCCTAGTTTCCTCCAGAGAGACCGGTGGGGGCGGGGAGCCCAAGCTCCTGGAGGCGGGGACTTGTCAGTCCTGTTCACCAGGGTCCCCGGGGTCCAGAGTCCAGCACAGAGCCTGGCACATGCTAAGGGTCTACAGGAAAGAAGGAAGCGGATGTGGAAGGTCCAGACTAGGTCCCAGGGACGTGAAAGCAGACCCAAAATCCTAGTCCAGGAGAGGCTGCAGGTGCGGGGTGTGCACATGGACAGGGGGGCCTGCAACTCTCCCAGCGATGCCAAAAGGTAGGCTCGGTTTATGCCAGGGAGCCAGGGAAGCCCTTCCATCCCCTCCTCCCCCTCAGGGCATTCAGCCCCTGCCCACCTGGTCAGCGCTGCATCTGAGGCACAGGGACCCCTGTGCTCAGACCTGGGAGGGGCCCTGGAACATGCCCTCCAAGAGCCTGAGAGAGGGCAGTGCCACCAGAGGTTTCCTGTCTCCACACTCACAGCAGCTGCACTGCCGGGCATCCAGCTTAAATGCCAGCATTTGGTTTCCTGTCTGACAGCAGAGAAGAGGACAGCACAGAGAAGGAGCAGGATTATAATTAGCCTGCTGTGCTGTGAGCACAGCGTGGGTACTGCCCTGCCCGTGTCACCGTCACCTGAGAGGGCTTTCCTGCTCCTCTTTTCTCCTGTTGGTAGAGGCCCAGGTGCCTCTCCTGTCCTGACTGCGCAGGGAGGGGGAGGGGGCTGCCCCAGACTTCAAAGCCTGCTGTGTGAGCGTGGGGACCTGCATATAAAAGGAGGTGTGGGGGGTGGATGTGCAGGGGGGTATGGGAGTGTGTGTGTGTGTGTGTGTGTAAGGGGGAGGTATGAGTGTGTGCGGTGGGGGCAGGGAAGGGAGGCAAAATGCTCCTGCGAATAGCTGGACTCCCCCTATCCCATCATTCCGAGGCTATATCCTTACAGCCCCTCCCCAGCCCACTCCGGGGTTCCTGACAGCCTAGCCCAGACTTCCCTTCCTTCATTCTCCAGGTATAACAAGGAGCAGAAATGTCGTCCCTGTTTTACCAGGTCATTGTCTTCACCACTGATACTAGCAGACACTTATCGGGCCCCTGCCTTGCACCACACACCATTGTGGGCACTGAAGGAGCCACCTGGTCCCCCAGATACATGGGCCAGAGCAGGACCAGATGCTGAGCCGAGTGGCCTGGGCAAGTCACTCCCCTTTTCTGAGGCTTGGTCTCCTTGTTGGTAAAATGGGGGTCTCAGGTGATCACACAAATGTTTTACAGATAAAAAGTTGAAGTGCCCTAACCAGTTTGGTTCAGTGGATGGAGCGCTGGCCTGCTGACTGAAGGGCCCCAGGTTCAATTCTGGTCAAGGGCATGTACCTTGGTTGCGGACACATCCCCAGTAGGGGGTGTGCAGGAGGCAGCTGATCGATGTTTCTAACTCTCTATCCCTCTCCCTTCCTCTCTGTAAAAAAATCAATAAAATGTATTTTTTAAAAAAAGTTGAAGCACTTAGTGTAGGTTGGTCATCTTTCTTCTAGCATAGTTCTTGGCACAAAGTGACTTTATGTGTCTCAGAGAGAGGCCAGGGCCAAGGGCCTTGGACATTATGGGCATGACTCCCTTTGTTGCCCCTCTTCCTGCCCACATCCCAGGCAGAGACCACAGGCCCCCCCAGCTGCCGTCTGCGCCGTGGCCTGGCCTCCCCCAGGAGAGCCGAGCTACCGAGCCGAGCTAATCTCCCTCTTCTGTCACCATCACGTTGCTTTGTCCGCAGGTGGTGGGCGAGTGGAGATTCAGCAGGATTCACTGTGACATCTTTGTCACTCTGGACGTCATGATGTGCACAGCAAGCATCCTGAACCTGTGTGCCATCAGCATCGACAGGTGAGCCCAGGCCTTCCACCTTTCAGGCTGCCCCACCTCGCCTTCCAAGTCAGGCTCTGTCTATGATGCCATGTGGCTGGCTTTGTGCCTGTGAGTGAGTGTGTTTGTGTGCATGTGTGCCTATGTGTATACACACAAGCACATATGTGTAGGTGCATGTGTGTGTGGCTAGGAAAGTACATCCTATGGACAGTGATGCTGCTAAGACTACAGCCTGGTACATGGGAGGAAGCAGTTGATTCTGACTGGAGCCCCAGTTCTGTCACTTTCTACTTGAGTGACCTTGGGCGGATTATGGAGGTTCTCGGGATGCTACTTTCATTGTCCAGACACAAGGATGACGATGCCTACCCATTGAAGGTATGGTGTCGGCTTATGCATTTATGTCCAGCACAGGGCACGTGCCCAGGGGGCCCAGGCTCTGCTCAGCTTGTTGAGCTGTATCTGTGGAGCCTTTCACTGATTCGTACACACAGGCCACGTGGGCTCCCAAAGGCCCCGCCTCTACTCCCTTTGGAAGATGAAATGAGCTAATCCCTCTACCCAGCACTTCCTGTACTGGGTAGAGGAATATGAGGGTTCATACATGATTCCTGTTGTTATTGTTTCTGCTGAATGGGCTTAACCCTTGCTCTAGGGCAGTGGTCAGCAAACTCATTAGTCAACAGAGCCAAATATGAACAGTACAATGACTGAAATTCCTTTTGAGAGCCCAATTTTTTAAACTTAAACTATATAGGTAGGTACCTTGTTATTAGCTTAATTAGGGTACTCCTAAGGCTTAGGAAGAGCCACACTCAAGGGGCCAAAGAGCCGTATGTGGCTCACAAGCCGCAGTTTGCCGACCACGGCTCTAGGGTTCTGGCTACCAGTCCATCAACAAACACTTCCACCTCTAGTGGGCTCAGCGCAGGTGGAGTAGGTGGGGTTTCAAAGGCACAAAGACCCAGGCCATGAGATCCAAGTGGCGGGACTGGGGTAAAATATGGCCCAGGATTAATGGTAGCCAGTTAGTCATCAAGCAGTCAGTTGGGCAGCAACATTGTCCTCGCTGTCTGAACTGGGGACAAGAAGGAGGATTGATTTTAGAGCAAATAGGTGGGCTTCATGGAGGGGGACCAGTTGTCCACCCCCAAAGAGTGGGTGTCTCTGGTTGTGCATGTTGTTGAGTGAGGGGTCTCCCCTGACTGGTTCCCTTGCAGGTACACGGCTGTGGCCATGCCCATGCTCTACAACACGCGCTACAGCTCCAAACGCCGAGTCACCGTCATGATTGCCATCGTCTGGGTCCTGTCCTTCACCATCTCCTGTCCGATGCTCTTTGGACTCAACAACACAGGTGAGGCCTGCCTCTGCCTGCCAAGGGCCCAGCTGGCCTCAGTGCAGGATCCCATGGGGGCCTGATTGCCACCCTGGACTAAGGCCAGGGTGGGTCTCCTGGGCCAAGCCTGACTCCATGTGCTTCCTGGTTGGGCCAGAAAGGAGTAATGAATGATCTGGGGCACAATGGAGTTGGGTGAGGGGTGGGAATAATGATTCAGGAGGATATCTGGCCATTTTCAACTTTGTTTATTAGATGTAACAGGCCAGAGAGCCTCACAAACTGCATGTGTGTTCCTGTTGCATGTGTGCACACACACTTGGGGAGGCTACTGGGCCTCTTCACTCCTGGCCATGGTATTTGTGTAGTGAGGCTGCAGCCCCAGGGCCAGCTGAGCTCAGGTCAGGCCTCGGCCCCCTGGGGCAGGAAAGGTAGAAACAAGCTGGAGGCTGGCACCCCATGGCCTGCCCTTCACAAGGCAGCTGGAACAACTCAGGCAGAAGAAGCACCGTGCCTGCCTGCTGGTGTGGCCTCGAGCTCACTCTCGTCAGGGAGGCAAGAGCAATGCGGGGGTGCCTCTGGAGACCACTGCAGGGCAATAGTGCACAATGAAGCCATGAAGCGTTGGTACAAAGCTAACTCTTGTGGGAATTACAAGAAGCAGGAACAGGCCTCAATATGCTCGGATTAATCTGGAGAGGCCCTGAGATAGCGGGCAGACATCTACTAGACCTGGAGGGAGCTTGGGAACACAGGTGAGTTCAGCAAACAAAACCCAGTGACCTTGCCCCTAAAATTAAAAGGTTCCAGACCTCCCCCCACAGCATACAGGAAAGGCTAAAATAATAGCTTACTCTCTTAAAATAAATTTCTTTGGGCATTTTTCCCAAACATCCTGGCTCCACTTGTGTGCTCATAGGTGGCAGAACTAATGCCGGTGTAGTAAGGGAATATTAATGGAAAAACTTGGAAGCGGTCAATCACAGCTTAGCTTTTTTGGCTCACGGTTGTTTAATGCTCTGACTTAGGCTGTGCATTTGCTTGCATCTAGCCCTTCCAGGCCACCGTAGAAGTCTAGTATAGTCTCTGTACCCGTGCCCTGCCCCTTTGGTGGAGGGGCCACACTCTGGCCCCTGGGCCTGCTGACCCACCCTCCTGGTGCTCTCCCTCCTCCAGAACAGAGTGAGTGCATCATCGCCAACCCCGCCTTCGTGGTCTACTCCTCCGTCGTCTCCTTCTACGTGCCCTTCATCGTCACCCTGCTGGTCTACATCAAGATCTACATAGTCCTCCGGAGGCGCCGGAAGCGGGTCAACACCAAGCGCAGCAGCCGGGCTTTCAGGGCCAACCTGAAGACCCCACTCAAGGTCCCAAGATCCCCCTCCCCTCCAAGGTCCCCACTTAACCATCACTGAGGTGGGTCATCTAGTGCTCAGTGGGGACCTGGGACACCGCAGCAGGAGGGAGTCCAGGATGGGGAGCTCTGAGCAGGCTTGGACCTCAAAGGCTTGGACCTCAGTGAAGGGACTTGGATCTCCAGGAGTGGGAGGTGGGAGGGTGGAGGGAATGACCTGGGAGAAGTTGTTGCTTGGAGATCTTTATGTGAACACAGCAGCCCTTGGCACCCTCCTGGGCTCCTCTCCTCTTTTCTTCACTTCTCCTTTCCTCACTCTGATCCCTCTGTCTCCCTTTCCCTCCCTCGGATATCTCCATCCCATCTCCTTACTTCCCACACTCTCCCTCCTCCCTTCTGCACACAACTCCTCCTTCCTCCCCTGCTGTTGCCTACTTCTCCACTCTGTCTCCCTCTAACCGCCCTTCCCCCATTTCTTGTGAATTCTCTCTGCTCAGCCCTCCCCAAGGAAGACAGTATGTGGGCATGGAAGGAATAAGAGCTTGGGGGTTAGACACATCAGGTTCAAATCCTGGCACTGCCACTTTCGCTGAGTGACCTTGGGCAACTTGCTTAACTTCTCTAAGCCTCTGTTTCCTCATCTGTCAAGTGGGACTCATAATACCGACCTCACAGGGATGTCTTGAGGATTCAGTGTGAGAGAGATGTGAGCCTGCCTAGCATGGCGCCAGACCCTTGGCAGGTGCTCCATAAAAGTCAGGGCTCGTTTGTCTCTTGTCCTGCCCACCTCTTGCCTCCTGACCTCGATTGCTTCTTCAGGCCCCTAGCCTCCTGCTCCCTGCCCTCCTCTGAGCCCCTGTGCCCAGCCTGACTACCCAGCACTGGGTCTCTGTGCCCGCCCTCCTCCCCGTGATGACCAGTGTGCTGGCTCACTCCACAGGGCAGCTGCACTCACCCCGAGGACATGAAACTCTGCACCGTTATCATGAAGTCTAATGGCAGTTTCCCTGTGAACAGGCGAAGATTGGTAAGTGTTTAGGCCAGAACCCACAGCCAGGTGTGCCCACCTCTAGGGAAATCCACCTGCCATGATTCTCAGAAACCTCCCCCACTGCTCAAAGGGATAAGCACCTTCTTGGCTCCCTCAAAGAAGGAGGCCCGACTCACCACACCCACCTCACTACAGGCATGCGCAGGGCAGCTCAAGTCTGCAAGGCCCAGAGAGGTCTTCTAACACAAAAAAATGTTTGGGAGAAAGAACTTGGCCTTAATAACAAGATAAAAATAATAATGGCTATTGCCATTCATTGAACACCTACCATATTCCTATTATCTGATCAAATCCTCACAGCAACCCTGGGAGGTAAGTCTTATTGGTCACGTCCACCTTCGTTTTGCAGAAGAGGAAACAGAGGCTCAGAGAGGTTGGGTAACTCCCCCAAAGCTGAGTAGTTAGTGAGAGAGCACATAACCGAACCCAGACTCCTGTGACTGAAATCCACGCCTCTGCTGTGCTTTGCACTTGCGTGAGCTGCCCAGGTTCTGGGGCTGGAGGCTGGGTGGGCACTAGGGGAGGAGGGAGCTGAGCAGCCGTAGGGTTGGTGTGAAGTGCAGCCTCTAAGGAGAGCCCAGAGGTGCAGAATCACAGCAAACCCCAGTGGTAGTAGCAGCAGGGTCCAAGCAGCAGGTGTCTCCTTCCCCGGGTGGTTCAGGAAACCCACCGAGGGCCACATGTGGAGTCCGGGCCAGGTGTCCTCAGGGAGCAGGGCCCCCACCATTTACCTGCACAGCAAGAGCAGGACTCAGAGGAGCCATTTAGGAGGCAGGTGCCAAAACAGGGACTCAGAATAGGGCTGAGGTAGTGTCCCAGGAAGACACCTGGGCACACAGTGAGGCCGCATTTCAGCAATTCAGGCTGAGAACCTAGAACAAGGGAACCTAAGGGAGAACCTGGGAGGCCCCCCAGACCAGACCAGCAGGGAGGGTGTGGGGACCCAAGAGAAATGGAGCCGTGTGAGGGCTGCTGCAGGTGAGCCTGCAGGGAGAACAGCAGTGCCCTCTATGCAGTTTGAGCATGAGCTCCTGTGGGCAGGCCCAGGACATGCATCAGCGATTCATCCCCAGCAGCTAGCGCAGCACCCTGCACTTAGCTGGCGTTCAGTAATATTGCTCAGTGAATAAAAGAGAAGCGCCTGGGTAGTAACCCCACCCCAAATGGTTATGGGGTTACCGAGGACACATAAGGATTGCTCTGGGATAGGGGCCCAGATGACCGCACAGGCAGAGACTGCTGTGGGTCCTGGCTCCTGTACCCAGACAGCCCTGCCTCTGGGTGATTGTCCTTGCCTCTCTGTGACCTGTGGTTTTGGCAGACATCTGAAGAGGGAGGTAGGGAAGAGCCGGGAGGCCTGTCGAGGCCAGGTGGGGCCAGGTAGGCCAGGTGCGGCTGGGTGGCTCCTGCTTGAGACTTGCCTAGCTTTACCTGAGCTCTCTGCCTGGTGCAGGAGGCTGCGCGCCGAGCCCAGGAGCTGGAGATGGAGATGCTCTCCAGCACCAGCCCACCCGAGAGGACCCGGTACAGCCCCATCCCGCCCAGCCACCACCAGCTGACCCTCCCCGACGCATCCCACCACAGCCTCCACGGCACTCCTGACAGCTCCGCCAAACCCGAGAAGAATGGGCATGCCAAAGACCACCCCAAGATTGCCAAGATCTTTGAGATCCAGTCCATGCCCAATGGCAAAACCCGGACCTCGCTTAAGACCCTGAGCCGCAGGAAGCTCTCGCAGCAGAAGGAAAGGAAAGCCACCCAGATGCTGGCCATCGTGCTTGGTGAGTCGGCCCTGCTGCCGGCCACACCCAGCTCTGCCCAGCCCTGACCGAGGGAGGGGCTCCTTACTGCAGGTTCCATTACCTGCCACACTCTTCCCAGCCAGCATTGGCGAGTCGTGGGACTGGCACTTTCTCAGGCCCAGGCCAAGCCTGTGGGTGCATCCTATTAGGTAGACTCCATAATCATGCTCAGCTTACAGATGGAGCAATTGAGGTTCAGGATGGTCCTATAAGTTGACCAACGAGGACCCACAATTAAACTTAGGGAGTCTGACTCAAGAGCATGTGAACTTGACCATCTGCCATCATAACCCAGAACCTCATAACCCTGGCAAGCCACTTCCCCTCTAGTCCGGTCAGTCGAGTAGATTACTTCTCAAGGCTGTGTGGTCATCAATGGTAGACGGTGGGGAAGGCTGTTTCTAAACTGTGCAACAGAGCACACAGGCGTTATCATTATGATCTTTATTAATATTGCTATTCCCGAGGAATTAGGAAACTCAGTCCCCCTGCGCTTAACCAAGACCCTAAGGGACCAGAGTTGTAAATAATTTAAAGAAGGGATATGAGAGAGCCCGATCCGAACGAGGGCATGGCTGTCAGCGGGCCCTGTCCACAAGGCAATGCTTTCAAATGAAAGTCCCTTAGGAAACCAGATGCTAAAGGTCAAAAATCTGGGTGGGATTGATGTGGGTGGCTGGGAACAGGAAGGACTGATGTGACCCTGTCCTCCAGGTAGCACCCGGCTAGTGTGTGACGCCCCCACGCCCACTTGGGTAGTGTGTGCCACCTCCACGCCCACCGACAGCTCTGTGATGTGCGTGGGGCAGGTGTAACTAGCCTCGTTTCACAAATGAGAGCACAGGGTCACAGCAGGTCGATCATGCCGCTGGGAGCGACTGAGCAGGGTTCAAGCTGGACCCTCTGCTCCAGTCCACAGGGTCTCTGCCCGGCAGTCCTGCCCTCACAGGCACCTCTCCCTCTCAGGGACCCCAATGTCCCAGCAAAGTATCCTGTGCACACGATGCCTTGACACCCAGGATCCCACCCCAGCAAGTCGGCAGAGTGGGTGGGACGGACATTGGTCTGGGCTGGGGCCTGCAGCATGCAATCCAGGGGCCCGCTGAGTGCAGGCCCTCCCAGCGATCTTCCCCCTGCCCTGGGCCAGCCTGACCCCACCCTCTCCCCCAGGCGTGTTCATCATCTGCTGGCTGCCCTTCTTCATCACACACATCCTGAACATTCACTGTGACTGCAACATCCCACCTGTCCTGTACAGCGCCTTCACGTGGCTGGGCTATGTCAACAGCGCCGTGAACCCCATCATCTACACGACCTTTAACATCGAGTTCCGCAAGGCCTTCATGAAGCTCCTGCACTGCTGACCCGCTGCCCACCTCCCTGCCAGGCGCCGGCCACAGTCCCTAGGAGCCCTGGGCGGGAGGGTGTGGGGTGGACTTCCCTTTGCCTGGCAGGCCCCGTAGTGTTAGCTCGACACCACGCCCCACACTGTCGGAATACCCTCACTCTGCCAGGGCAGTGTAGAGAGCCAGGCGTGGTGCCAGCCCTTGGGCTGGACCCGGTGGCTCAGGGGCAGCTCACAGAGCTCCCCTCCCACTTCCAGACCCTTCTCTTTGGCACCAAAGACAGGGCAGCCCGCTCTGGCCTTTCTCGGGAGCTGGTGTTGCAGGGGCCAGAGTCAGGCTCGAGGCTGCGCCCTCTGCTGGGCTCAGCCTGGTCCCCACAGGTTTGTGCTGGAGGGGACGGTGGGGAGGCATGGACGCTTCATAGCCCACGAGGCCCACGCCAGGGCTGTTGCCAAGGCCCCAGCTAACCTCCTTCTGGGGACACTCATGTAAATATCAGACCACAGAGTGACCCCCAGGGAAGCCCAAGCCAAAAGTCTTCACTCTCCCGCCGACAGGAGCCTCTGCTTCCCTCAGAGACCACCCCTCAGCTCACCCTGCCGCCTCCTGACGGACTCAGGTGAACTTCTTGTAGCAAATGTTAGCCAGCCTGGGGTAGGGGTGAAGATGGCTGGGGCCTGGATGGGGGTGTTTGAGGTTCTTTGGGGGCTGCCTCCTGCCATACTATGCCACAAAACCACTTCCCTTTTCCTTTGCCTCTTCTCTTCCTCCCCCCCCCCCCCTTCCCTCCCACTGCCTGGGCCTTGGAGGAGCCCTGCTGAGGGAGGAGCCCTGGCCTGGCCCTCCTGAGGGAGGATGGGAAGCTGCATTTGGGGGAGCCCCCAGCCCCAGGCTCTGTAACATCACTACACCAATAAAACTTTGACAAGTCACCTGGCGGCCCCTTGGGGACGGACACGGTGCCAATGGGCATGGCGCCACCTTGTCCTTCGCCTCAGAGGCAGCCAAGCCCTGTGTCTGTGCGGGGAGGGTGGAGAGGCACCCTGCACACCCTCCAGGAAAGGGTGGGGGAAAGAAGAAAGGAAGAGGTCCCTGGAGGACCAGGGAGGTGTGTGTACCTGTGTCTCCCCTCCTCCCGCCTTCTCCTCTCAAGCCGCTGAGTGCCCTCCGTCCTGCTACTGGGTGGCCCTGACCCTCAGCCGTCAGCCAAGATGGAGGCAAGAACATTTCCCGTGGGAATCCCAAGCACACCGTGGGCTCCCCTAACCGCCAGAGTGACAGGGGCTGCCAGAGGGAAGCCAGGCTGTCCCCACATCCCACTCTCCTGCTCCAGGGCCCAGCACCCTGGAGGATCGATCCTCAGCCCTCTCGCCCCCCAGGGCAGAGGCTCCGTGGAGAAGGTGGCCTTCGCGGTGCCGCTGTGCTGTGTCTGTCTGCCCCTTGCCCCTCTTCCGTGTCACGTCAGGGCCCTGTTTAGGGCAAGTTCAGGAAGCAGGGAGGCCCTGAAGGACGTGGCCTGGTCCCTCCCCTCTGCCTCCAATCCAATCACAGCTCCGAGCCTTCTGGGGCCATGACCCAGCAAGAGAAACAACCCCATGAAGAAGAAATATTCTCAACTTCTTGAGAATAACAGCAGTGATGACAAACAAGGAGCCGGCACCCACGGCCCAGCTCGGGAGCTGTCAGGGCATAATTTGCATGCTAAATGCAATATTTTTAGCACCGAAGTTCGGAGCACTTAACTTGCCCTGAACACTTAATGATGGACTGGGATCTTCTCCTTGAACCTGAACGTGGCCCTGAGCTCTGGGAGAGGCTCCTGTCCCCAGGAGCACCCGGATCCCAGAGGAGGGCAAAACAGTCCCTCATCTTGCTGGGGGTTCGATAGCCCAGTGCCCACCTTCTGGGGGAGGCACCAGATCCCAAGGGGGCTAGAAGCGCCAAGGGCCTCTCAGCTGCTGACACCCACACCATAGCCAACATACCCACAGCACACGCTCACCCACACCACACACTCACCCACACCACACACTCAGTCTGCAAAAGATCTTGACCTGGATGGAAATGAAAAGCTCATCTTGTCATTAGAAATCTTATGAAATCATATGGGTTTATCAGATGTGGTTATTGGAAGAGATGACAAAGGGAGGGAGAGAGGAAAATGGGAAGGAAGGAAGGGAGAGAAGGAGGAAAGGACTGAGAGAAGGAGAGGGGAGGGAGGCTGCCTCAGAGCAGCTTGGAGGGGCTGTGGCAGGGAGGAGAGGGGAATAGGGCAGGCATGGGCGGGAGGAGGGACGGGAAAGTGCCTACAGCTGTCATGCAGCTTCAACTCTCTGCCAGACAGCAGACTGACAGCTAGAGTGGGCAGGGGGCGGGCTGGGCCCCACCCCTTCCCCCCTCAGTACTTCAGGGGCAAAGGAATGAGTGTGGGGCCCAGGAACGCCAAGGTGGAAGGGGGTGGCCCAGGTTCTGGCTCTTTCCCAGGAGGCCCTGACATGGCCCCTTTGCCTTGACAGCAAGGGCGGAAAGGGAGCCGGAGGCTGGGCAGGCTACCGACCTCTGACTCTCTCTTCTCTCTGCTTTCCCCTGTGCCTGTCTTTTTTGTAGACTGACTTTTAGTCAAAGAAGCATCCATCTGCCTTGATAGCAGGTGCAGGCCCCCCACCTCCCCAAGAGCATGGCAAGGAGGCGCTCCTAAGGGCAGGCCTCTCTGCTCAGACGCGGCGGGGCAACCACGTGTGTCCTCTCAGGTGCCCGCACGTGGCTGTGAGTCTTCAAAGCTTTGGCCCTTATTCTTCCCCTGGGGGTTCCTGAGGAGTCCCAGGTGGTCATGGGCTGGGGAGATGTCCTGGGCATTGAGAAGGCAAATGGTGCAGGAAAAACTCTATCCCTTCATCCATCCATCCATCCACCCAGCTGTTGTCTTAGCGAATGTTTATTGAGCCACTGTTGTGCTCCAGGCCCTGAGCAAGGCACTGAGAATAAAATGGTGAAGAAGGTGGACAGGGTCCCTGCCTTCTCGAAGCTCACGGGACAGTGGACAATGGGCATGAATCACAAGGTAATGGCAGAGCTCCACATCCCCGGGCAGAGCTCTGGCTGGGTGTGGAGACCCAGCACCAGGGCACCGTTTTCCGAGTGGCGACGATGCCGTGGGATGCAGCAGCCCCGGTGGGCCTTGGCCTGGAGCAAGGAGGTAGGGAATTAGAGGACTTCCTGAATGGCAGATCAGGAGGCCCCCGAGAGAAGCAACTGCTGACCCTGCTTCCTGTGGCCTGCGGACAGGGGCAGCCAATTGCCAGCAACCAGGAAGTGAGGACTGGCCGGCCTTGGGGACATTGGAAATGCACCCACTTCTCTGATCCCTTCCCACACCACCCCTGTCCCAAGGATGCCTTGCCCAGCCTGTGGCCCACCGCTGCCCTGCCCTTCCAGCCCTAGGGCCCAGGCTGTGTCTGTGGCTTTGACTCCCATCTAGGCAGGGCCATAGGGGGCCTGCCCCCACGTGACCCCTTTCCTCACACCTCCAGGGGACAGGCCATATACTCCTGGGATAGAGGGTGGTGGCCTGGGTGGCAGGCTGGCCTTTGAACCCAGTCTTCTGACTATTGTCTTACATTGTCCGTTCTACCCACTTCCTGACCAGCCCTGAGCAAAGTGGGAGGAGGCTTGTATGGACAGAGCATTTTTAAAAAGGGAGGTAGAGAAAGAAACCCATTCCGGACTAGGCTTTCAGGGGCCATCCTTGGGGTGCCTGTGACCAGCTGCTACAGCAAATGAGTGTGTGTGTGTTGTGGGGGGGGGTGCTTGGCAGGGGCACAGCATCTAGTGTGGCTTCAGCAGCCAGAGGCGAGTCAGGGCACCAGTTCCTGAAGGTCTCTGCCAACCAGCTGCCCTGGCTCTGGTCCTGGGGTTCCGGGGAAGCAGAAGCTGGTGGCGAGAGAGCAGACCATCTTCCAAGGGGGGGGTCCCACCCTGGCTTTTTAGGGTTCTGGGTCAGGGAGAAGGGGGCGGTGATAAGAACACTTTCCCACTCCCTCTCCTACCCCAGCTCTGCCGTAAAGCTGGTGTGAGCTGCGGGCAGAGCATGCGGCCTGGAGGGTGGCGGGAGGGGCCTCACGTCCACCAGCAACGCTGCAGGGCCGCGGCCCTTGTGTGGGCTTTCTCCCGTCTGCACACCTGGCTTCTGTCCCGAAGCCTGGAGGTGTGTGTGGGGCCGGAGCGAGGGAGGCAGCCTACCTGGCATCTGGGGGCAGCTGCTGCTGGTGAAGTGAGGGACAGGTCAGGTACGGGGAGGGGCTGGGATTTGGTAGGAACAAAGCTCTGGCAGCAGACCTTCTGGGTTTTTCTGATGAGGCTCAACTCCAAACTTTCCACCCTGTCCGCCCCCTGAGAGCGTGGTCTGTGGAGGCCGGGCTCCGGCCGCCCCCCCCCCCCCCCGCTCCCCCCCACCCTGGGAAAGCCTGGGGTGGGCAAGAGAGGGTGGAAACTGCCGGGAGGAGACACGTGCCAGGTCTAGTGCTGCTCTGTGACCCCTAGCCCGAAACACTGACCTGACCCCAGTCCTGCTACACACCCAAGCGCGGGGTCCACCCCTCCCACAGCCTCTGTACTGCGGTGGACAACAGGAGGTTTACAGTGTGAGTACTTGAAACACAGCGTTTATTCTTGTATTATTATTTACTAATTATTGTGTTATTGACCATACAAACAATTGTATGCCTATTTTTGCCCTCGCCTGTATTATCTTCCGGCCCTTCTCCGGGCAGGCTGAGCCCTCACTGCTCTGCCCGGCTGAAGACCGAGTAGGGACCAACGCCAGCCCTGGCCCCGCCCTCCGTGGTGGATGCAGACACGGCTCCCCTGCTTTGCTTACACTAAGCCCACTGGCTGGGTCCAGAGCTCAGGGTAATCCCATCTACGGATGGTCATTGGGGCTACGTGGCAGCGGGCACGGCCCACAGTGGGCTCCCCGCCCTGCAGCTGGCCTGATGCGCCTTGAGGTGTGTTCCAGGTGGTGCCATGCTGCCCTGCAGCACGTTGCCCTACAGCACACGGCCCCTTCCTCCCCGGGGTGGGCCAGCAACGGAAAATAGCAGTGGCTCCTCTGAGCATCCACCAAAAGGCTCCCCAAAGCTGGCTTGTCGGAGCCCCCCTCCAAGAGAAAAGTTCCTCTGACTTGGGAGAAACTGCAAGAAGCGAACATGTTGAGCGCTTGCTAACTGCTCCCCCTTCCGACCCACAAGGCTCTGATTCTCCTGTGACCACCACCAGTGAGATAAGCAGCTGGCTGTGGCTGTGCACCAGGCTCAGAAAGTTCCAGCAACTTGAAGTCACCACTAGCAGGTGGCAGGCAGGACTGGCATCCAGGTCCACCTGTGTTCAAAGCCCGTGTCTCCCCACATCGCAGGCGCCCAGAGCTTCCCTCCCCGGCCTCAGTCCAGCTTAGCCACTACCCTCTGTCTCTTACTTTACAGCAACAACCCCGCAGCCATCATCGGAGTCAGTAGGCCTGGATGGCATGCCTAGAGGGCTGGGATGCAGAAATAAGCACCGGCAGGGATGCGCTCATCCAGAGGGAAGGCGCTCTCTGCACCTCCCTGCAGGGGGCGTAGATACCGAGCGACCCTCTCTAGCCAGCAGTCAGCGAAGGCTTCCTGGGTGGGGATAGGCACGCTGGATCTTGAAGAGTACGGACTGCACTGTGGATGCTTACATTTAACTCACTGAAGTGGAAGATGTGCTCCTTCAGTTGCACCAGCCACATTTCAAATGCTCACAGCAGCACGCGGACCTGGTGGCTGTCCTCTTGAACAGCCTCAGACAGAGAGCGTTTCCACCCTCCCAGGAAGTTCTGTGGGGCAGGCTGGTCTACAATAACTCCTAGGCTAGGAGTTTAGGTACCTTCCCCTAATGGGAGGGAGGAAGGGTG